TTCTAAGAGAAGTAGTATAGAGTTAAGTAAACTTTGATAAAATAAGAATAGAATACAAGTAAGTATTATAAGGCTAGAGAGTTTAAATAGATAAACTTCAAATAGATTTCAAATATAGTAGCTAGTATAGAACCTTTGAGCAAACTATTTAAATTAGATAATCTAAAGTTATATATATAACTAGTTGTACTCTTATAATATGTATCATTTACTTACTATCAATACTAATAAAGTTTTAGCTAATAGTATTTGTATAAAGTAAAAAAAAAACAAAAAAAAAAAAACAAAAAATATTTAAAAAAAATAATATAAATATTATAAGTTTAAGTTTAAAAAAAAAATTTTTTTTTAAGAAATAGAGGTCTAGTGATCTTAGTATAGTAGTTAGGTTACCAGACCACCATGCAAGAGGTCTGAAGTTCAAATCCTACTGTTAGTAAATTTGAATAATTATCCAGATCTTTGTATCTAACTTACAGTAAATACTGTTCGTTTCTGAGGTTGTAACCCTATAAATAACATTGTACTAATATCATCCAAATATTAGAAGTGTGATATAATATTCGGAGAGCATAATATTATATAAATAAATCTTGATAGGATCTATGAGCAGAGGACCTGCATGGTAGAAATCCTGAGTTAGTGAAGTAGTATAGCTTTCAACAATCATACTAGCTAATGCTTAATTCAAAAAGGAAACTATCATCAAAAGATGCAGATCGAGTCAGATATGTATAAATCTATTCTACAAGAAGAATTAGTAATACCAACTTGGCTTAGTAGCTAACTAGATTAAAAGGATCTGCCTCATGAAACATCTGAGAAAATAGACATAGAAAATTAGTGGAGAGCTATGGTAGGAACTAGAGTTGTACAAATATTTACAAGGGTCTAAGCTAGGTAAATCCATAAAATGGATATGGACTACTCTAGTAGGTTTACTTCTGAGGTTAACTAGAGCTCTGCAGTTCACAATACATTAGGTATATATATTCTAAAAAGATCTAAGCTATGTAGTAAATAGATCCACAGATAAGCCAGCAGGCTTAAGCAGTCAGCCATAGTGGTGATGTTAGTTTGGAATAGAGGAAAAGGTTAATGATCAGAGTATTTAAATAAGTAACTCACAGACAGGTTGCAGGTATAGTAGCATAGTGTAGAACTAACAGATAATTAATCGTCTGTATAGTGAACTATTTAAATTAGACAATGACTAAAGTTATACATGTAGCTTGTTGTATACTTATCATATAACTATAAAACTTTAGAAATCTATTCATATAATAGTTCTGTAATAACAAACTAATAAAATCTAATCGACCAAAGAAGTAGCCTTAATAACAGAAAAAAAAATTTTTTTAAGAACAAAACTAAATAATAGATTTAAAAAAAAAACTATATCTATAAAATTTTATAAATAAAAGATAGATTAAAGAAATTAAAAAGTTTCTAGATTCTAATTTTAAAACAAATTAAATAATCTGCTAGTTTATTAATTTTTTTAGTTTAATTTTTATAAAAAATTATAAAAGTTCTATTATAAAATTATAACTAAATAGAAAAAAAAAATATTAATTTATAAAAAAAAAAAAAAAAAAACAAGAAGAAAAGAAATAAAAAAAATATAACAAATAAGAAAAATAAACTAGTTAAAACAAAAAAACTATTTTAGAAAAAAGAAAAAAATTTTTAAATGAATCAAAAATAAAATTATAAGATAAATTGTAAAAGAAAGTTAAAAAAGATAGTTAAAATTTAAAAACAAATAAGCTTTTTTGATATAGGCTAGTAATAACTTTTTATAAATTGAAGTTATAAATTATATTTAGATATGTTTATAATTTCAAAAAAAAAAAATTACTATAGCAAATTGCATATAAATACTAGTAAAACAAGCTAAATGAGTTCAGAATTGCAATAAAAAAAGTAGTTTTAATATTAGAATAGTTTTAGTTTTATATATTTGTTTTAATATCAACTTTATATTTCTTTTAATAAAATAAAGAGCAAAATTTTCTAAAAAGAAAAAAAAATAAATAAATAAACTTAGCTTTATAAAATATAATAAATATAAATTTTAGTTACTTCAAAGAATTATTAATAAATATAGCAAACAAATTTTTATATATATTAAAGTTAATACTTAAATCTAGATTTATAGCTATTTTTATAATTTTGAGATTAATAACTAATAACTATTTAACTAAATTCAATATGTACATAATTATAGTTGATAAGTTATTAATTTTAATATAATTATTATACTAAAATTAATTTATTTTTTATTATAATCAATTATATACCGGTAATTATTTACAATCTTTTCCTCTTCTTTTTTTTCTAGCAACAATAGCTTGTATTGGAGAAAAAGGAACCCGAATTCAAAATATCGAGAAAGAGATGAATCCCGAAATTTCTCTTCAGTAAAAATACTTGGTTTTATAATAATTTTATTTTTAAAAAGTTGATATTTAATAAATAAATATTTATTTATTAACTTAACTTATTATAAAATTTACACTTTTATTTAACAAAAAATCAAATATTTTTAAACAATCAAATAATTATTAAAATAATAATCAATTACGATATCTGGTCAAATTCCAAATTTTGGCCAAACTCATTTAATAATTTTATTAATAATTGTAATTTATTTAAACAAAACTAATGTAATTATAAGCAATATACTTTATCTAATGTATTTAAAATATTTGCAATATTTTTTTTTTTTTTTTTTTGATTTGCGAAAGTGTCTGGGGATCATCAGAAAAAGAATCTGACTGGTCGGTAGTTGACGGACGTTTAATTATATAGTAAATTATTTTGAAATTTCATATTACAAGAAGGAAGTTTCTTGACTGCACTTTTAATTATATAGATTACATAATTTTTATTAATTAAACTTTTCGCTTCAAATTGGTACTTAACCATTCCAAACCCTCGTAAAGACCATCACCGCTTGTGGCACAGGTGGCTTGGATATACCAATGACGCTGTCGGAGAGAATGAAGTCCAAGCTTATCGGTAATTTCAGCAGCATTCATAGCATTAGGCAAATCTTGTTTGTTAGCAAACACTAAAAGAAGCGCATCACGAAGTTCGTCTTCGTTCAGCATGCGTTGAAGTTCCTCTCGAGCCTCTGAAATACGTTCACGATCATTTGAATCAACAACGAAAATAATGCCCTGAGTATTTTGGAAGTCTTTATAATGACACAATATCATTAATTAAAAATTCTATAAAATAGGTAATAATATTAAGTCAGAAATTTGCTTACAATGACGCCATAACGGTCGGATCTTGTCTTGACCACCAACGTCCCAAACGGTAAAAGAAATGTTTTTATATTCTACAGTTTCAACATTGAAGCCTGAAAAAAAAAAGGGTGGAGATAAATGTGTAAATAAAGAAAAGAGAGAATTCTTGGAAGCACCTTATATAACCAGTTAAGCCAACTCACCAATAGTGGGAATAGTTGTAACAATTTCACCCAATTTAAGCTTGTACAAGATGGTTGTTTTACCAGCAGCGTCCAAACCAACCATCAGAATGCGCATCTCCTTCTTGCCAAAAAGGCCCTGAAGGAGTTTAGAGATTGAAAGACCCATTTTTGTATATGGTTTATGCTGATGGTGAAATGATGAGAGTATATTATTCTAAGGGAAGGAAACAACACGGCGTGAGTCGCTTATAAAGCTTCACACAAAAGACCCGCAGGAAGGAGATAGAAAGTGTTGATAGGAAGGGGGTGCACAAAAAAGGCAAAAAAAAAAGGTCAAACAAAAGAGGAGGAAGCAAAGATTTGGCTTGATCTTAGTGGACAAAGTTGAAACGGCGCAGTCATGGCGTAGCAGCTAGTGACAAATAATCCAACGACAGGTGTTAATCAAAAAAATTCTGGTCGGAAATGAAAGAACCAATAGTTACTGATCTCTAATACTTGAACACAAACTGTTATCTCTTACTTCTTATGGTAGATCATGCTAATGTAGGGAATGTACGGTATAACCAGCATTTCAGTCGTAGAAATTAGATGAACAAGTAGTTTCTTGACATTTTTCACATAAATATTATTTACTTTGCATTTACGCTGTTATTTCTTGTCCACATGTGTGTGGCTGCGATTTTTGCTTATAAACATAATCTAAATATGATATGCCAATTATTACATTAAATTTAATTAATTCTAAGAAAAAGCTCTTTATATAAGAGGAATTTAAATAAAATTTAATTTATCATTATCGTTATTTAATAGGTTTAGTAGTTTAAAAAAAACATAATTCAACTGTATTAAGAAGGAATGATCGGTCAAAAAACTCTTATTATGTAACACTCCTGCACTCATAATTATAATTCTGCACTAATAATTATCACGTGATACCAGGTTTGGAGAACTCGTGTAAACCTACTAAAAAGGAGGAAAAATGTTTAACGTTAAAGAAATTAAAGAAATTGTACATATCGATATAATATTTAGGGTAGTAGGGTCTAAATATATCGATATGCATATAACCAATAAGAATAAACTAAATATAAGAAAAGGTGGCTCTATAGTAAATTGATCTCAGCTAATATCTGACACGAAGTTAGCAACTGTAAGTACTCTTGGATAACGAGTATTCATGCTTTTACCACGCGTTTTTTTTCGTGATAAAGTGTTACGATAGTATTGCATCGCGGCATATTCACTTCAAACGTTTTTGTGAGTAAATATACTTCTTGTCTGGAATTTGATTAAGTCTCGGACGCGTTACAATCAGATCTCTTTTAATGTAACTTTTACTGAGACATGAAAAATTGAGATACTTTATTTAAAAGAGCGTTGTGATGAAGGGTAGATCTTCGAGTAACTTATAAGCTTGTGACTAATTTAGTGATATCAAACATTTGAGAGAGGCCTTTGCAATTTAATTAATAGATTAATAATAAGCACATTTAGTAATATATTTTAATTTTCTTTTTCCATGATCCTTTGTTAAAGATAAAATTCAATTGTAAATATGGATGAATCAGGCTGGCACACTCCTCCTGTTCGTCAGCTTGACAGTTTTGGGCATTCTCCAATGCGCAATGAATCAAGCAGGCACACTCCTATTCGTCAGCTTGACAGTTTTGGACATTCTCCAATGCGTAATTTAAACTCTTCTCCAGCAACAGTAACTTCACTTAATTCTTTAAATGGAAGTGCTTCACGAAGAAGACTGGTTTTTGCTAGACGTTCAGCGGCTATAAATGAAGACCCTGAACATCTTGCTCAAGATCCATCATCAGATCCTCTTAAAGTGCTTTTAGATGAGGAAGACGGAATTACAAGGTATTAAAAGAATTTATAATCATTTTTTTTTTGATCTCAACTTTCTTTTAATAGGCTTTTAACTTTCATTCCATAGTGGCTTAGGTACAATTGGATCACTTAGAACTCCCAGGCATCATCGTGGTGATGTCCACCCTAGCATTAGATTGCCCTTATACGAGGATAATGAAAATGGCAATTTAAATGAAATGCCTGCTAATGAAGGTGAAAGGCCTGATGAAGAACTAAGAAGAGTAAAAGAGAGACAAGACCAAATATGGGGTACAAATATTGAAATAAAGGAAGTCAAAAAATCTTTTGAAGATTTTCTCCTCAACTTTAAGTTACAATACCGTAAAGAAAAAGAAAATATTACTATAACAGATATGGACAGAGAACCTTTCTATCAGTATTATATGCAAAAGGTAATGAATTATAATAATAATTTAAGCAACTTATACGAGCAGGACATTAATTGATTCTTATGTTTGGCTTAGATTAAACAAACAGAAATATATAAAATGAACCTTGACATGCAAAATCTTTTCACATATGAACCAACAAAAAAATTATATTTTCAACTTATGAATTATCCTCAAGAAGTTCTTCCAATTTTTGATGATGTTCTTACGGCTACTTACAAAAGGCATTGTGGGATTAATGATCCAAATAACCAAATTGTAGTAAAGGTGTGCTTGTGGTTTCATTTAATTCCGAACCAATTTAACATTTAATAAGTGTATAGTTTCTGAAAAACAGAATAATTTTATTAATTAGGTGCGACCTTTCAACTTGGGAAAATCTACAAACATGCGAGATTTGAATCCAGCAGGTAATTATTACAACTGTCATCAAATCAGCTTTTTTTTTCATTATTAAAGTTCTATATATCATTTATCATTTAATAGATATTGATAAAATAGTGTCTATCAAGGGTCTTTTTATCAGAACCTCACCTATACTCCCTGAAATGTCAGCTGGTATGTATTCTGCGGTTTTCGATGTATTACCTATATATTATCATATTGTAAGTAATAATTGATATTTCGTAAAAGCTTTTTTCCGCTGTTCTATATGTGATTCTTCCGTTGAGGTTGAAGTGGATCGTGGCAAGATTGATGAACCTCACAGATGTCGTAGACGTGAATGTAACTCAACGAACACAATGACTTTGATACACAACAGGTCTTCTTTCAAAGATAGACAAGTTTGTCGATTGCAAGAAACTCCAGGTTTTTCTAATTTATTATTATTAAAAAAAATAATTAAATAAAAAATAAAAGGTATATTATAATGTATCTAACAAATTTATTCAAACTTATCAAATGTTCTTACTAGACAATATTCCTGATGGGCAAACTCCCCATTCCGTTTCTGTCTGTTTATATGATGACCTAGTCGATACTGCACGACCTGGCGACAAGTAAATTATTTCTTCAATTTATATTTTATACTTATATAATCTGTTGATTTTGTGTTAATTTATTATGGTCATTGAAATTTCAGAGTTGAATTAACCGCTATTTACCGTTCTTCGCCAATTCGCGTTCATCCACGCAAGCGTACTATTAAAGCTTTATTTAAAACCTATCTTGATGTCGTTCATATTGCAAAAGCTGACCAGAACCGTCTGAGTGCTGGTTTATCTGGCCATGACAATGATTTCAGGTATGAAAAACTAAAGTTTGCCTTCTAATTATATCGTTCTTTTGTCAAAATATTTTTCTAAATAAATATTAATCTGAAATATGTAGCTATGATTTAAATGCAGAGAGCGATGATCTCGATATTGTTCAAGAAGAAGACAATATGAATAGACGCGATGCCAGACCGGAATTTACTGAGGAAGAAATTCAATACTTTGAAGATTTGTCAAAGCAATCTAATTTGTATCAGTACCTAGCGCAGTCACTGGGTAATATTCAGTATTTACTTTTGAGATGTTTAATAGATTTTAAATAACATATTTCTATAACTTTTTTTCCATATTTAGCACCAAGTATTTACGGATTGGATGATGTTAAAAAAGGTATACTCTTACAGTTATTCGGTGGAACTCGTAAAAAATTTGAGAAATCAGGTTCGCCTCGGTACAGGGGAGATATAAATGTTTTGTTAGTTGGTGATCCAGGTACTGCCAAATCTCAGATGCTACAGGTATGATAATGGTTTCATTATCTGAGAGACGTCAAGTAAAAACCTGTTATGTCATATTTTATGCATTTGATAATTTTCACTTGAATACAGTTTCTAATGCTACTATTTAATTCAAATAACGTTATTAGAAAATTGAATAATTATTAAAATTAGCAAATGCATAAGAATATGACTTTCGGTGTTTTTAATTGTCAACCAAGACACTTAATATGTATTTTATTTACCTTATAGTATGTCCATAAAATTGCTCCTCGCGGTGTTTATACTTCTGGAAAAGGATCCTCGGCGGTTGGTTTAACCGCATATGTCACAAGAGATCCGGACACGAAACAAATGGTACTAGAAAGGTACACATATATATAGCATATATTGAATGCTATACTTATCGGCGATTAAAGTTTATTTATTGAGCTTAAAATTTTTATTCGTCTTGCGTAGTGGTGCATTGGTGCTTAGCGATGATGGTGTTTGCTGTATTGATGAATTTGATAAGATGTCAGATGGAACACGCGCTATTCTTCATGAAGTGATGGTTAGTACTCTTCATTTATTATATTAAAATTGAGCCTATTTATAATTAATTTTCTTATATAAACAGGAACAACAAACGGTTTCTGTCGCTAAAGCTGGGATTATTACGACTCTCAACGCTCGTACATCTGTTCTCGCATCTGCTAATCCTGTCGAATCAAAATATAATCCAAAGTTTTCTATAGTTAAGAACATCGATTTGCCACCAACTTTGATGTCTAGGTAATATAACAGTTACTTGTAATTTATATTAACATACATAAGTTGATTAAAAAGTAGCCTTATAACACAAATTATGAATACGTTTTCAATTTTTAGATTTGATCTGATTTATTTAGTATTAGATAAAGTAGATTGGAATGCAGATAAGAAGCTGGCAAAACATTTGGTTTCTTTATATAGAGAAGATAATCCTAATGTTGCTAGAACAGATATGTTGGTGAGATAATTTAATTTTATTAAATAATGCTTTATTTAATCTAAGTCCCGTATAAATCTAATACAATTTTTTTTCATAGCCTATCAAAACTTTAACAAAATATATTAAATATGCTCGTAAAAATTATCAACCGCTTATTGGGGATGATGAATCAGCCAATGCTTTGGTCAATGCTTATATAGATTTGCGCAAAGTCGGAATTGATCCACGTTCTTCCGACAATATTATTACTGCGACAACTAGACAGTTAGAATCGATGATTAGGCTGTCAGAAGCTCATGCACGTATGAGGTAATTTGAGTGTGTTAATAATTATATCTAATGTGGTTATTTACTTAAGCCTACATTTTATTTAGGTTTTCTCAAAAAGTTAATATATCTGATGTCAAGGAAGCTGAACGATTACTTAGAGAAGCAATACAACTTTCTGCATGGGACCCTGAAACTGGTAGAATTGACATGGATTTAATTACCACAGGGCATGGTAGTCATGAAAGACGTGTGTTAGAAGCTATGCGCGACGCATTTGCAAAGATGTTGTCGGAAATGAGTTCAAGAAGCATATCATTAAGAAAAGCTTTAGAAGATTTTAGGGCACAATCAGATGAGGTAAGTTGTATAATGTTTAGTGTTGTATGTTATATGACATAATTGTCTCACCATTTTATTGAAATCTATTATATATGTTAATAGCCGATTTACGAAAAACAATTTGAAAATATTCTCCGAACCTTAGAACATGATGGTGTCATTAAAGTGACCGGAACTAGTCGAAATGATCGTGCGATAACAGTAATCTGATAGGTATCGGGTAGTGATCCTAGCTCATGATAAAAAAAACGACTTGGGGTCGATTTTTCGATCCGATCGGTCTGTTCTTTAAAAATCGTTGATGAATTTATATATAAGGATGAACTGCTCCATTAGATATATGCAAGTTACATAAAATTCTCTCGATATAGTGAATTTATTAATAAATCTTGTTATAGTGAATTTTATTCTTTTCAGTGAATACGTAAGTGAAAATTAATTGTTAATGAAACGTTATACGACATTTATTGCCTTGATATATTTACCACGAAATTACATCATATTTGGCATATGGGCCAATTTATGAAATTAGCAATAACTTTTAATCTATTGGTCTATTCCTGTGATTGGATTTTGATTATTTTAGGCTTGTTAGAATCACCTCATTGAGGGGAATTTTTTGGTGATAGACCAAATTATTGTAAATTGGCCCATTCATACGGACATATAAGATATCGGATAACACCGGAGCTAATGTCACATGTGCTGCTTAGCAGCACATGGGAGTGACGTTAACTAACTTTGATCCTATTTTTTTGTCTGCTCAATATTGTTGACCAGTGATGTTATGCAAGACTAAAATGTGTGACAGGTTATGGTCTTAATTCGGGCTGATTGATCAACATTGGCCTGCATTAAGCAAATTTCGAAATTAGGGTTAGGTTTGGGCCGAGTTAAGGTTAGAAGAGGAATTTAAAT